GAAAGTGAGTACTTTTGCCATCTCTGTCCATTGGCAAAATGTCTCTTTTTACCTCCTCAATCCAAGAACAAATGCACTTATTTTAAGAAAAAAATTATTTATCTAGATTTTGATTTTTTTCCAGTGTATAAGAACAAAAAAAACCATTAAATTTCTTTAAGAGAAAATGCTGTAAAGGATGAAGTATTATTCAGACTGATTTAAACGTATGAAAAGGAGTAGCTCAACCCCCCCACGGTTCACTTGATTGTAACTGTTGACTAAAAAATTTAACCTGCGTCACTGTTCTGACAATACATTTTTTTTTTCAAACCCAGGGAAATTAATTTTTTTTTCAAACCCAGGGAAATTAATTTTTTTTCAAACCCAGGGAAATTGATTTGATATTATGAGGATATAAAAAGTACATATAATTAAAGGGATAAATTAATTTCTTATTGGCATGAAAACCCCAACTTTTTCAATCTCAACACAGGACATGCTTTCTCAACAGAATGACAGAAGCTAAGTATAAATCCAAAATAAATAACCTAAATATAGCACAACCTGGCTATATTTAAAGTTTTAAAGTTTGTTTAAATGAAAAATACAAAAATATGCAAACAACTCTTGTCTTTAATATCCAAAACACGACAAACTGCTTTTTGAATGTTGATTCAGCCTTTGAGTATCGATACTTTTCACAAACTTACTTGTTATTAACTATTAACTTATTTTCTCAAGAATTTGAGCCGTGATATCTTGAGATGAGGAGATAAGGAAATCACAATCATCACAAGAAAATAACATTAAGACACAACTTGCCTTCCTGCATGAAAACATACTGAGATGAAGAGACTCCTTGTAAAAAATAAGCTCAAAATAAACAAAACTATAATTTAGAAAAGATTTAAGGATAATGCTTTACAGAGAGACAATGTGACACTAAAACTTATCACAATAAAGATTCTTGAGACACATTATCTTCACATTATAACAGAAGGGATTTGTTAAGCTTTTAAAAAACAATTATGATCTAATTATCTAGAGATAATGAAATAACTATTTAATCATCCCTTTTGGGTGGTTGCTGCTCAAATTGAAGATTATTTCTTTCTCTGTCATCTCTGAAGGCCTCCAAGGATTACAGTCACCTAGAGCACCAACTGTGGATGTCGTTGTGTGCACTAACCGTGCCCGGTTCAAAGCTGGCGCTGATCAGCAGTAGGATCTCTGCCACCAGGATGGCGAAGGACAGGTTGGCGTGAATGTGGTAGCGCTGATTACGGATGGTACTGACAGACCTGTTCAGCACCAAAATAAACAGAAATACAGAAAAGCCAAAGTTACATGTTCATAATGATGAAATGGTGGCATTGTGATCCATTCCATAAATAAGTAGTGTTTAGCTGATCGTAAAAACAAAATAAAAATAAAGGAACATCACAGTCACTGCAGGTAATACTCACGAAAGAACAGCAAATGTAACCAGAGTGATGGCAAGGCAGAAGATGGAAATTGAACACCCAATATACCCAATGGTTGACAGCGCCATCTTGTGGCCAGTAGTGAGCTATATAGAGAGACAGATCACTGTCAGCACTGGACAAGTATCTATTTCAGCTGCATTAAATAAGCCATTAAGATCACTAAAAAACTCATTTTAAGAACTTCGTTAGTTTTGCTTTACATCAGAAAGAAATTAAGGACATCAAAAATAATCCCTCTCCTGCTGATAGATAATCTCTATGTGAATCCTCTTTTAATCTGTATGATCTTTTTTAAAAGTTAGAACAAGGGTGCAGAATTTTCGATACTTGTTCTTTTGATTAGTGTTCTTTAGCGGTTGTTTTTGTTTTGGCATCAGAATAGTATAAATGTAATGCATGTCTAAAAAAAAAATCCATAATCCAAGCAGCTTAGTGTGATTATGAAACAAGTCACCTTCCTGTGCATGTATATATCTATGGTGTTTGGCGTAGTGCTCTAATCTTGTTTTGGTGCTTGGGCTATTTTGAGGGTTTGGTTTTGATTCTCTATGAACTGTCTACACATGTGCCTTGTCATTAGGAGAGCAGAGGACGCTCTGCCTTCAAGCAAAAGGAAACGTGGGATGATCCCTTGCAGCTGAGGGATCAAGCTACCCACTAATTAGAGACCCACTGTGGGAAAGTATAGCATCAAATAGACTTCTGAATAGAAAACTGGCTCACTTCACTGCCTGCAATACGAAATCCACTTTCCAATTTAAGAAAAAAAAGCCATTGTGAACGCTAACCATACTCTCACTGCGTGCTCTGTTCTAAAAATGCATGCATTTATCCAAGTTATGAACTCAACGGGGCCTAAAATTATGCAAGACACAGTTTGGACAGTAATGATTGAGTCATAACTGGTTTCAGACACAACAGATCAACAGATAAAAGAAGTCTACAATTACTGTGGCGTTAAAGCACAAATAAAATGGTCACATACAGCGCCATCAGAATCAGAGTTCAGGAAAAATATGGAAACATTTTTATCATCTTTTCACTTTATTGCACATTTTAGACAGAAAATCGTGCATCATTTTAAAGTTAAGTAAAAAAATTTTTGTTTTTTTTTAAAAACAAACCTGAAGCATATGACATGCATTGATTTCAACACCAGGTGGGGAAATCTATTGACAGGGCAACCATTAGTCATGCACAATCTCAGCGGATTTTTGGATGACAAAGTCTGGATAAAGACTAACTGTCTATGTTAACCTGAAAACACTTTCTGTACAATGGAAGGGTTTGGCTAGCCTCGTGAGACCATCCTGATCTCGCGAGCTTTCAAGGTTTCACTTGCAGATCAGTCTGGCTACTTTCCGTTAAAGAAAATTTGGAGCCGTTCACCAAACGAACGTCCAATCAGCGTTGGCTTTGAGGCGGGTTGAGGTGTGACGAAACGAGAAGCGCGACAGTTCAGTCTAAAGAACATGGCGGCTTCAGCAGATGAAACTAGCGTTAGCGTGGCTATCGAGCAAGTTTTATCGGAATTACAGAGTATTTCTTCACTGAAAGAAGAGCAAAACACTGCTCTGGAGGCTTTTCTCAGAGGAAAAGATGTTTTTGCTCTTCTCCCGACTGGTTTCGGCAAGAGTTTGATCTATCAATTGGCTCCTCTTCGTCGTCGCTCTGTTAGTACGTCATATGCTTCGTTGATCTGATTGGTTTATTTGGCCCGTCTATCACCAACATAGGCCAATCAGCTAACCAGTATTTTCGCCCCTTCCCAAAATTACTTTAACGGAAGGTTTCCAGATGGATATGCGGAGCAAATCCAGCAAATCCATCTGGCGGTGTCAGGTTAGGGTTTGGCAGCATCATGTGTTGGAGACGCTTTTCTTCACCGGGGAAAGAAAGCTGGTCAGAGTTGATGGAAAGATGGGTGGAGCTGAATAAAGAGCAATATAAATAAAGGTAATTCACGGATCAAAAAGTTCAGACTAATCCACATGAAAATCTGTGGAACGATTTTAAATTGTTGCTCAGAGATACTCTTCATCCAGTCTGAGTAAAGCTTAGACTATGTTGCAAAGCCAAATAGAAATAGACCCAACAGTCTTGTATCTGTAATTGCAGCAAAAGGTGGTTCGTCAAAGTAACGACCTAGATTTGTTTATTACAAATGTCCTTCTAAACTATATTGAAAACCAGCTAATTGTTTTGTTGTTCCAACTGTCACATAAATCCCAATAAATATCATTAAGTTTTGTGGTTTTAATGTGACCAGAGTGAGGAACATCTAAGAGTTATGAATACTTTCACAAGTCCCCGTCGCCTGTTGTGGACAATAAACTGCAGTGGGGGCCTCCCTGTGGGTCTGATTACTATGTGGTAAACCAGCAAGAAAACCACTTAGACAAATCCAAATATATTCTCAACATAACTTATTTTCTCATGGATCCAGAGGATGTGGTGCCGTTTTAAATATGAGTGGACAGATGGTGATTACGGGTAAACTTGACCACATTCGACTCGTTGTTTTCACATAACTGCATGAAAACACAAGCAGACCACGCTTGTGGATATATTATATGGAGTTAATCGTTTGCGAAAAGACCATTTTGAAAGCCTTGTTTATTTTTTTTCTGTTTTCCAAAATACATGCAGGCAATATTTGTTCATTGACCTTTACTCCACTTCTCTAAACTGACTTCTAATGTGTTTTTAATTAACACCGAAGCTCAAGTGACCATGAATATTTCACTAAAACAAAGTAAAGAATTGAAAATGTTTTTCCTAGGTTGCTTTTCTATTGAAATGTTTATGTTTAGAAACAGACAGGTGTTCTTGATTAGATGCATTTCATAAATATATTAACTGAAATGTTCTCCTTGTGGCCAAACAGAAAAACTGCATCAAAAGGATTACAGCTTAGACTCTAAAGGTCATACTAATAAGATTTGATTACTAAGGAAACATATTTTTCTTTCCTAAAACATACAGTTAGTGTTGACATTTGCATATTCCCATTTGATCCATGTTTTTGAAGACCTACAAGAAATATGATCTAATCCTTTTTTTAAAGCTGCAACACTTCGAAGGCCCATCTGTGTTTTTTAGATCCACATGTGACGTCAACTTTCTAATTGTTGGTCATAACATTTTTTTTTTTATGAAATCCAGAAATTAAACTTTGAAAAAATTCTTAAATAAAATATTCTGTTAGAGCTTTGCAGTTTACTCACATTTTTTTTTAATAATTTCTCTTTTTTAATGTTTTAAATACTTTTCACATTTTATTTAAACTAACATTTTTTTTCCCCCAAGTTTTTGTTTTTCAGATTAGGTTTTACAAATTTTACTCTCTTGTGTTTTATAGATCACATTCGCTTCACTTCTATGGGCGGGTTTTCCTTCTGAGTGAGGAGGGACGAAGCATTTCTATTGGTCCAACTGATGTCACCAGCAACGCTTTTATTGGACAAGAGCGAGTGTGCTGGACTCTGTGGGCGGAACATATAGATTTCTCTTGTTTTATATATTTAGTTATGCAATTTATCCAGTGAAAAATTTTTTTATTCAGTTTGTTTCTCCTGCAAGGCTGAGAAAATGTCTGAGTGAGGGGTGCTTTTAGACAAAACATACTTATTCCCACAACAAGCCAAATTGTCTCTCAAGGTTTGTTAAAGTGTGTGTAATTTGTTTTGACTCTGACACAACCTTCTCAGTTTTTTCATCAGCATAAGTAAGGGAGACAAACTCTGTCTAGTCAGAACAGGGCTGATTACTGTGCTGTAAGGGCTGTTCGATAAACTCTCCTTTCTTTGCAAAGATAAAAAAATAAAGTGCCAACTGAGTGAAATTCATCGATCTCCGTTTATTTAACTAGGGTGAACAGTTGAATACTTTTTTCCCACTACAGATCTGTAAAATTCAACTTGAAAACAATGCAATTCGTAAAACTCAATCTAAAAAAAAAAAAAAAAAGAAAGAAAATATACCATCTGTAAAAACACCCCAATAGATTGGAAAAATATAATTAGAATAATACAATGTGATTTATTTTTTGTTGTTGTTGAGAAAACAGCAAAGTTATTATCAAAACCTGTATTTGATTTAAAAAAAAAATGTCAAAGCTTCAGTTTGGAATTTACAAAAGATTTTCTCTGCTTACAAAAATAATGGAACCAAAATTCACCCCATAATTAAGAGAGCAACAAATAAAACATACCTCCAAGGGCACGACTTGCATGAGCATGGCGAAATTGGTGAGATGGTTGCACATACACACAGAGTATGACATGTTTCCATCTGAGCGGAAACAGCCTTCATTGGACCATACCCCCTCATCAGCACTGAAAAACAAAAAACTGTTTATTTACATAGTAAATAGATTCAGCATAAAGATTAAAATACTAAAGATAAACTGGCAGACCAAGCTGGGCTATTTTCGGCAGACCTGGCAGGGTTCACTCAATCTAATCCTGTGTGGGAGGCACACATGCTGTACTTTGCTGACTCTTTCGGGATAATTTAATAATTCACATTTTTCATGAGCTTCAGGGCGAAGGGGAGCGAGAGGAGGAAGTCTTTCAATCCAACTAAATCAGACTCCCGTTTACAATGATTTATGCACTTTGAACAGTTTTTTTGGATGCAATTTTTACATCACCATATCTCTGCAGAGGACTGTTGCTTAATTTAAAACTGAGCAGCAACACATGAATCAGTGGGTGTTTTTTTGTTTGAATAAGTAAAAAGGAAGTAGACTTTTTCCACATCTATAATCTTGTTTTATTTTTATCATTTCTAACTTTGCAGACTAAACAAGTAACATTAGAAAAGTAAGAACTGAGCTTTATATCTAAAAGTGAGATTCTAAAAGTGTTGAAGCAATGGACTCTGACCCACCTGTAATCCAGAAAGGCACAGTAGAGGAAGACTTTATTACTTTGATTTAGCATTTGCTCTTCTTGTTCTTTAGTCTGAAAAAAAAAAATGGTGAGATAAAATGAGTATTTTACAATTTTTAGAATCAGAAAGGTAACTATAAAACAACTGAGAAAAATGATAGTGACACAGGTTCCAAAATGTTAAAAGATCAATTGTGCAAAGGGGATACTGAATGGTAATTATTTAAAAGAAGAGAAGCCAGGAGGCTGCCTTTAAAAAAATAAATAAATAAAGGAAGGTTTTCTTTACTTGAGTACAGCTACAGTAAGAGAAGACATACAGTACTAACTAATAATCCAAACATTTAAGCTGAATAAAAATCACTCCATCCCTCAAGAATCTTATTTGATTTAAAATACTTTTTCCATGTCACTTCTTGTTATGAGATTTGGAATCTCCAGAGACAGTGAGCTAATGGCTGCAGCACAAGAATGCAGTAATTGGGGCTTGGCCCAGGTTTCGGGTCAAACCACTACCCTCCTCAATCTGTAATCTGAGAAAGAAAACAACACTTATAACGACTGGAAAAGTGAATACGGAGAAACTGCAAAAGTCTTCTTATTTCATATACTCCAGCTTTCTAAATCTGGATGAGACGGACTCCATCTGCTGCCGATCTTACTTTAAAACGTGACAGTGCGTCTGCCTGGTTCCTGGCCTCTGGCCTGGCCATTAACATTAAAAAGCATACCACAATACCTTCACTTCACTTTGTAATCAAACTGCTGCTCCTATTCTGTCTGATTTTCACATGCAACTCTTTAGTCATCACATGCTGGGACACTTGAGATGAAAATAATGGACAGTGATTAATGCAGCCCTCGAGCATTTAGGACCAAAGTTGAGAGAGTATTCCCCCACCCCCCCAAACTAATCACAGATTGCTGGCATATTTCAAGAAAGTTCAAGTATGATGAAAAAAATCAAGGGGAGACAAAACGCAGCTGGCAGATTGTAAGCGTTTCATCGTGGTGTCAAATGTGCTCTTACTAAAACTTTAAGGTTTCTTTCCAAGGAAAGGAACCTATTTTACCGCAAATACTATTAAAAGGATTTCTCTCAGTCCCAGATATGGTAAAGGACACCACACTGGAATAACGATCTAAAAATAAGAAATTAATTTCTTAAATTAGGTATATTTATTCTTAATTTGAGTCGGTAAATGAGATAGTTTGCAAATGGAATTAGAATTTTTACTCTTAAAATAAGACAATTACACAACATGCACTTGAAATAAGACAATGCAATTGTGTTTTCTTATTTTAAATGTAAATTGTCTTGTTCTATTGGCAAAATGTCTCTTTTACCTCCTCAATCCAATAACAAATGCACTTTTTAAAGAAAAAATGACTTATCTAGATTTTGATTTTTTCCAGTGCACGTTACATATCCATGGGCAAACAGACCATCACACATTTCCCCTTTAAACAACTGCAGGCGGTAAACCTAAGCTCACTCTTTCCACTCGACATCTGAGCTGGGTTCAGTAACCTGATTGTCACTTTGGTGCGTCTTGACTCACTTATTTTCGTTTAAGATGCTCCTCAGACCCTCAAACCCCCTTGAGCACTAAGGCCTTAAAAATTTACCAGGAAAAGCTGAAGCTGGGGGTTCATGTCTTTATTAAGAACAGAAGGCCAAGAAACACCGCCCAGGAAATCAAGCGGATCCTTGTAAGAGGAGCGGGACAGAGAGGATAAAGAGAGAGCGGGAGCTTGCAACAGCAGAGTGACAGGCTGATAAAGGAGAACAATCTAAGGGACAGGGGAGGATAAATCATTGTCAGAGTGCCTCTGGTGCTTCTGTGCTGCTGTGTGGTATTTGGCAGGCCGTGAAACTGAGCGTCAGTAGTTGGACTTTTACTGACTGACTGTGTTTTGCAGCATTGAATGAAAATTGGGGAAAAATCTCTGATTTTTTTTGACAGGCGTTCTCCAAGAAAAAGGATCCCTAGCTTTTCTCTTATTATTATTGTCCCACTACAACCACACAGTTAAGGGGTGACTTTTTTGGACATATCACCAAAAATTGGCATTTCATTTTTAAAGTGAAAGAAAAAGATTGAACTTGTGGATCTGTGCAACTATTACCTTGAGAAGTGACCAATGACGACCATGAAGACCAACAAACAAATCAGCAGAGGTGGAAAGAGTACTTAAATATTGTAATTGAGTAAAAGTATCTTTACTTTGCCTAAATTTTACTCAGAGTAAAAGTAAAATTACCCATCTCATTTTCAAATTTACTCAAGTAAAAGTACAAAGTTACTTTGAGTTATTTAATGCAAAAAAGGATGAGTCATGAATCGAATTGACCACAAGGTGTTTTAATCAATTTCAGGGCGTATTTCAGTGGACATCCACACTTGCAAAAGATCAGCTGGGCTAAAGAACATACTTCCTCACAGCACAAGGACAGTCAGAACCTGTACCATAAAGTGCAAATAATTTTCAATCCTATTGTCCAACAGACAACACCGTGATAGGAATAAAGAAATTTAAACTACGTTTTAAAGTTTTCAAAATGCACACAAAATTAAATGCCCAAAAGATACCAGAAATCAAACTAAAACACAACAGTATCCCACTGTTATTAACAAGCTCCTCATTTAATGATTTTAACTGACACTTGTTTTACTTTAATAGTGATTTTTAACTGTCACTTATTTTTACATCAATTGTTTATATGTTTGAATTGTGTAAATAAAGTGCTGTTAAAAGTCAAGTTTTCTTCTATTTTTTTAATGGCGATTAAGTGTCGGTTCCGTGACACGGGTTTAAATTTCCGGCAATATATAATTTCATCATATATGTATATTTTTTTTACTCAGTAACGTGAGGGGGTTTTAAATGTAGCGAAGTAAAACTACTAAGGTTAAAATTTACTCGAGTAAAAGTAAAAATTACATATTTCAAAAACTACTCAGCAAAATTAAAAATTACTCATAAAAAGTACTCAATTACAGTAACTTGAGTAAATGTAATTCGTTTCTTTCCACCCCTGCAAATCAGAAAGGTGGAGGATGGAGTTGAGACGTTTAAACCAGGTTGGATTTTAAAACAATATTCCAAGTTTTTAAAATCTCACAGAACTCAGTTTCATCCATCTTCTTAAAGGCGAGAGGACGATTTGAAACCTACTCAAAAATGGCTGTCCACCTAAACAGCCATGTTGGGTGAGCATTAATTAGAAAGCAGCCAATAGACTTATATTTGCTCAGGGGAAGCAGCAAAGATCCAGAGCTCAGATCTCACATTATCACAAGAAAGCCATAAGATATACTAAAAAAAATACATTAAAATTAAAACTTTTTTTTTATTTACATGTATGGAAACCTCTAGAATGATATTCATTGTGTTGCTTGTGACAGTGTAATGACAATAAAGTTCTATTCTATTCTATTCTATTCTATTCTATTCTATTCTATTCTATTCTATTCTATTCTATTCTATTCTATTCTATAGTAATATTCTCTTGGTGGGACTTGGTTGTCGCAGCGTTATTCTGCGTTATTCTGCGGGAATGCCTTTCAGACAAGGAGGCTGGGCACAGACTTTACTACTGATCAAATGAGGCCTGATACATATATTAGTTTTTGTCCATTGTCAAGTGTATGATGTGTTTTATTCATACTTTTAATTGCATCCTTTGTTTTTGTTGTTTTGGGCATACACTTTTTTCTGATTTAACTGTTAAACTGTTCCCAACACAATATAGAATTTAGCCTGGATTATTCACATGCGGGGCTGCTCAGTGGAACAGTGGGTAGCACTGCTGCCTTGCAACAAGAGGGATCCAGGTTCAATTCCTGGTTGAGGTCTTTCTACATGGAGTTTGCATGTTCTCTCTGAGGATCCATGGGTTCCCTCCAGGTACTCTGGCTTCCTCCCACAGTACAAAAACATGACAGTTTAATTGGCTTCTCTTAATTGTCCCTAGTGGTTACTTGTCTCTAAGTGTTGCCCTGCGATGGACTGGTGACCTGTCCAGGGTGTANCCATTGTCAAGTGTATGATGTGTTTTATTCACACTTTTAATTGCATCCTTTGTTTTTGTTGTTTTGGGCATACACTTTTTTCTGATTTAACATTTAGCTAGACTTCTAAGATGAAAACTGTTCCCAACACAATACAGAATTTAGCCTAGATTATTCACGTGCCGGACTGCTCAGTGGAACAGTGGGTAGCACTGCTGCCTTGCAGCAAGAAGGTTCCAGGTTCAATTCCCAGCTGAGGTCCTTCTACATGGAGTTTGCATGTTCTCTCTAAGGATGCATGGGTTCTCTCCAGATGCTCTGGCTTCCTTCCACAGTACAAAAACATTACTGTTAGTTTAATTGTCCTTAGTGGTTGTTTGTCTCTAAGTGTTGCCCTGCGATGTACTGGTTTTTACCCTGCCTCTCTCTTATAAACAGCTGGAGATACCCACCCCGCATGACAGAAAATGGATGGATGTCATGTTTTCTGAGTCTTTTAGTTTTTTCTTTAATTTTATTGTGATTATTTGTGTTTTGTTTACCCTCTTCAGGTTATCCTTTCTGTTTGATATTTTTCCTGGTTAGGTTTTACTTAAAGGTTTACATGTTTTGGTCTTGCCTTAGCCTGTTATTAGTTTTGTAATTTTGTTCTGCTGTATTAGTTGAATTTTTCATGTTCATATTAGTTGTATTATAGTAGTTTTTCATACCCGCTAGTTTGTTCTGTAGTCCTTTTTCTCTAGATTTAGTTTCTTTCCTGTCAGGTTTTATTTGGCAGATCATTCCGGCAGTTTTGCTTTAGTTTAATTCTGGTTTTGTGGTTTTCTTTTTGTGTAATTAGTCCGATAACATTCAGCTGCTCTCATGCCTGCCTTTCCTTGCCAGCTAATCATGTAATTAAGCTCACCTGGTTATCAGCTTATTTTGCTCATGTCCATTACCACATATATTCCTGTCAGTTTGTTTTCTTCCTTCTCTGGTGAATAATGTTCCTGTGCCTTGCTTTTCTGAACAGCCCACGCCATTGCCTGCTTTGTAACCCTTTTTTGGATGTGA